GGGGGGGGTCATCAACTTCAGGATCATCTTGTGTTCGGGTTAATATGGTACATTAGTTAGGGGAGTTATTTTTCCACATTCCTAACAAATGTACCTATGTCAGCAAAATTATTAAGTGTAGGTCAGGCTATTTTTTATGGTTTTTACTGTTTTTAAAATGTCAGATTGAACCATATGACCATATTATAAAATTAATAATATATTTTTAAAGGAAGTATAAATACTTTGAAGGATATTTCTATGTGATGTGTCATTTGGTTTATTGTGTTTTCATTTTAACATACTAATGGAAGATTATAATACTGAGAGATGTGTACTCTTTGTTTGAAAGCATGTTTTGAAGTTACACAGTATTTATTTCAGGATAGAAAAATAATTGTTTTAAGCAAAATATAACTTACGATATGTCAGCTTAGACAGTGATGTTTTGAATTGTACACGATTACATTTAATCATTTAGTTTGAAGTGGGCTGTTTCTATTCATTACCAAGTATTAACAGAAAGGATAATTCCTATAAACTATTATTTGAAAACTTATTTCTCAACTAATTTCTTACAAGAGAACCTGCCCCTGCTTCTTCTACAGGAAACTTTTCAAATCACAGAAATGTTAATCAAATAAATAAATGTATGTACATTCATTTACAGGCTCCTTGACAGACTTCTTATAAGAGGGAAAAACAATCGTGTTGAAATTCTCAAAGCTGAATGCTATCTAGAACTATTGCGCCACTCAGCCATTACACATGTGCCTATCTCCATTGGTTTTAGTGGAATTATTCTTGATTTTCCTTGGTGTGAATAAAGGTTAAGTCACACTGTTATGCCCATGCTATTCTTAGGATAATTCTCTAAGCTTTCCTGAACTGAACCCTCAAAATTATTACCACATAAATGTCTTCTTTAAGTTTCTGTAACAGTTTGATCATTACTGAACAATAAGCTAACATCAGGTAACAAAACTGTTGCTAATATGACAAATGGGCTATGGTATCTTACACTGTTAGCAATGAGTATATTTATCTACAGAAGTTCAACTTGTGATATTTCAAGTCGTCATACAGCAGAATCAATGTGAGGTTACTTTTCTTCTGGAGCAGAACTGGGCCCACGGTCTGCAGTTAACAGAGACTGCATCTTAGTAAAAAGATAAGGCAGCTGTGAACTGATCTGTTTTATAAATGATGTATGACCTTTGGTTTTCTATACAAGTATCAATAAATGGCCCTTGACTAAGCACAGTTTATAATCCCTGATTTAAAAAAAATTAAAAAATATTGTACACAAATCTAAGCACTCTCTTTCTGTATATTGGCTTAATACTGTAAAGTATGTCTTTCAATTTATAGAAATGTATATGTAATAAATAAGTGTTATCTAACAAATGCTTTTGTCTCTTTAATCTAGATTTAGTTAAATGTTGAATTTTCAGTACGAAGGATTACTGATGGCAGACTTTTTAGCTAAGTTCCCATGGGACACTTCTACAGAATAAAAGACAGAAACAGTTCAAAGTGAACAGCCAAACATGCTTTTTTGGCTTTCTATGGGTTGTTTAAACAAAGAAAATTGCAGAGAAGAAAAGTCTTTGTATATGAAAGGAATATCACACTCTATGCCATTTATTTTATACTGGGCACATCTACATGTGTGCTTCATGCTCATGAATATACTTTGGAGCTTATTGCTCTGGAGTTTTTTGCTCCCAGACACATGTTCAAATGGTGCATCCAGGAGCAAACCACTCCAGAGCATATTGCTCCAGAGTTTACTCATGTGCAGCATGTGAAGCCTAGTCAGAGATACCTGGGCTGGCAGGGGTCCTGGTGGGTCAGCCCATGGCTCCAATGGGCTCTACGTGCTGTGGAGCAGCTGGCTGGGGCACAAGGGTGCTTCAGCATAGGGGCTGCCTACCAGCTAGCCCTGCACTGAAGCACCCTGTGCCCCAGCCAGCCAAGGCAGTATCTACACTTGCACTGCTATGCATGAAAAACTCCGCAGTAGTACTTGTATTTCATTTTGTGATCCCTAACAAGGGTGCATGCATAGACACCAAAATGTTTATTGTGCAGTTAAGTAGTCAACTGAGCAGTAAATGTCTTGTGTAGACGTGCCCACTGGAGAGCATTTATCTGATATTTTTCATGCAAACAGTAGTAGGGATCCTATTCATCTCAACAAAAAGACTTTCTTCAACCGTTTTCTTTGATCAGATATAATGGACACTTCAAAAAAGACCTACTTAAGAGACGTGTTTGAAAATATTATTTTTGCATGTCCATGGAAAACAACCATGTTTGAATTTATCTGACATTTTCCAAGAACGTTCAAATAAGATGATTCTTAGTAAAGCCATACCTAGAACATTATGATTAACTGTTGCAACACATTTTTAAGCTTGTATCCTGCCAAACTTATGTAACACTTAAGTGACTAAAAAAAGTTAAAAAAAAAGGAAAGAAAATGTATTTTAAAAGTTTGACAAGAGATTAGACCAAGTATTGACTTGCCAAATAATAAGTTCTGAAATATAAATCCACAACTCTATTTTGCTTTCTCTCTTATGGGATTGAACATTCTTTTGAGATTGATCAAACTAAGAAAGATTTCAAGGAAGCACAGCTAAGTAGCACAGTATACATTTCTTGGAACAGGCAATGAATTTCGCTTGCTGCACTGATGTCTTTCATTCAAGTAGAAATATAAGGCTAAGTTTACCAATCATGTAACTGTTGACAAATCCTTTTGGAATGAGTGGAATTGCATCTACTTCTGCCAGAAGTGATTTTGGCCACAGTCATCAATGTTAGAACTAACAGAAAACAATGTTTTAAAAGAATGGGCCAGATCCAACTTGCTTTATGCAAGACTTCACATAAATAATGGGAATAGGATTTGGTCCCATATATTTTAAAAAGTTCTAGTTCATCCAGTTATGTTCTGATCACACTGCATTTGGAGAATGATTAATAACTAGAAAAATTCTTGCTAGTAAACTGTTTCCTAAATATTTTCAGATATGCCAATATAATTCATAGCTATAACCATCTATAAGAACTATATAATTTAGTATCTGAATACTTAGAATTTTACATTAGCTAATCATAGAAAAGTAGGCCTGGAAGGGACCTCAGGAGGTCATCTAGTTCAAATCCCTGCTCAAGATACAATCAGCCTTGACTACAGAAATGTTTGTCCAACCTGCTCTTAAAAATTCTGACAGATGGTCTGGGTAGCCTGTTCTATTGCTTAAACACCCCTGTAGTCAGAATATTCTTCCTAATACGCAACCTACATTTTCCTTGCTGTAATTTAAGATCATTACTCCTTGTCCTATCTGCTGCAGCCACAGTTTATCCTCATCTTCTTTGTAAACTCCCTTCAGACATTTGGGGCATCTATACATGTGGTCCAGGGTGGAGGGGAGGGTGCTTTAATTAGAGCAGCTCTGAGAGCCGCTCTGATTG